CTGCCTTCGCTCAAGGGCCTCCGCGACGCCCTCCAGGTGAAGGTCGACCAGTTCGAGCACATTATCAAGATTGGCCGTACCCACTTGCAGGACGCCACTCCCCTTACTCTTGGCCAGGAGTTCTCTGGCTACGTCGCCCAGCTCGATCGTAACATCGAGCGTGTCCAGGCTACTATCCCTCACCTGCGCTTCTTGGCTCAGGGTGGTACCGCTGTCGGCACCGGTCTCAACACCTTCAAGGGCTTCGACGAGGCCGTCGCTGCCGAGATCTCTAAGCTGACCGGCACTGAGTTCAAGACCGCCCCTAACAAGTTCGAGGTTCTGGCTGCCCACGATTCCATCATCGAGGCTTCCGGCTCCCTGAACACCCTGGCCGCCTCGTTGTTCAAGATCGCCCAGGATGTGCGCTACCTTGGCTCCGGCCCTCGCTGCGGTCTGGGCGAGCTGAGCCTGCCCGAGAACGAGCCCGGCTCTTCCATCATGCCCGGAAAGGTCAACCCCACCCAGTGCGAGTCCCTCACCATGGTCTGCGCTCAGGTTATGGGTAACCACGTTGCTGCCACCATCGGTGGCATGAACGGCCAGTTCGAGCTTAACGTCTTCAAGCCCGTCATGATCGCCAACCTGCTCCACAGCGTGCGCATCCTCTCTGATGGCATGAACAGCTTCCGTACCCACCTGGTGGACGGTCTGCAGGCTAACGAGGGACGTATCAACTCCCTTCTCCACGAGAGGTATGCACTTAACCCTCCCTTACTTTTGATGGCAAATTCTAACTGTATGATAGTCTGATGCTCGTGACTTGCCTGAACCCTGTCATTGGTTACGACATGGCCTCCAAGGTGGCCAAGAACGCTCACAAGAAGAACCTTACTCTGAAGGAGAGCGCTATGGAGCTTAAGGCTCTCAGCTCAGAGGAGTTCGACCAGTATGTCCGCCCTGAGCTGATGCTGGCCCCCAAGGAGTTGAAGTAGATGTACAGCAATGCTGTCCTGTGATATTATAGATCATTCTAGATAGGATGTGTACACTGAAAAGAATTTTATGTTTAATCACCTTGTGTTGTGATATTATACGGTTTTCTTTGTGTTGTGATCCCAACTTTCTCTGTAGTTATAAATAGCATCTTCGATCGCAAACCCGATCAAGAACGCTAGTGAACCGGGGCTGATATCATTTTGATACTATAGATTTCAATAAATTTAGAATTTTACAATGCAGAAATAAGCAAATTACACATAGTAAAAAAACCTGAGAGAAGCAAAAAATAGAAATCCACTTGTCCCTTGGTATGGGGGGAGTATTAATAGAAAAGCCCCCCTTAGTGGCGGTGTCTCAGCTGTACCTGAACCCTGCAAAGTAAAGTACTTATTTCTGAACATCTTAAAAACATCTTCTTTCCCACGCAACCCTTGTATCCCTCCTCAATTATATACTAAAGTCTCAAACAAATTAACTCAAATCCAAGACCGCCGATCTTCCTTGCGACCCTCGGCCCCTGATAAACAAACCCCTCAACCCTCAATCTCTTCAACACTCCCACTCTCCAACACCCACCACCAAAATGACCGCACACGCCCTTACAAGTACCACAATGCCGGAGGCCACAAAGCCAATCATGAGCTCAACAATCACCACAGTAGAGGCCGAAATCGATACCCTCACCGACGGCCCCCTCTTCCCCTCCAACCTCATCTCCCCCGAAGTGATCTCCCTCCTACCAACAGACTACACAATCCGGCCCATGCGCCGCTCAGACTACCACCGCGGCTACCTGGACGTTCTACGTGTGTTGACAACTGTTGGCGATATCACCGAGGAAGCATGGAACCAGCGGTACGACTGGATTACCTCGCGCAATGACGAGTACTACATGCTCGTGGTCTGCGATGGTGCGGATAAAATTGTCGGAACTGGCAGTCTGATTGTTGAGCGCAAGTTTATTCACTCGCTCGGTATGGTTGGGCACATTGAAGACATTGCCGTTGAGAAGAACCAGCAGGGCAAGAAGCTTGGCTTGAGAATTATCCAGGCTTTGGATTATGTTGCTGCCCAGGTTGGCTGCTACAAGGTATGTGTTTTTGTCTCTTATATCTATGATTTTAGTGTTGTGTCACGGTTCATTGCTGACTAGTTTACAGAGCATTCTTGACTGCTCCGAAGTCAATGAGGGTTTCTATGTCAAGTGTGGCTTCAAGCGCGCTGGCCTCGAGATGGCGCATTATTACTGAGCGTTTATTGATCCATGTATTTTTTAACCGCCTGGTTCACACCGGTTGTTTGGCATGGCGTTTGGGTCATTTGGTTCAGTTAGTCCCGCAAGGCTTCGGCGAGGCGCCGTTATCCATGAGAAACTTACGCAAAGCATGGGATTGTTGCATTTGAGGGGACAGAGCTGCATCTGACCCTAATCCATCGTGATTAGCATTCATAGATGGCCTCTCGGCTCATAATAAGGAGCAGCTGAAGCATCTGTATGATTTTGCATCCACTTCCACTTTTGGCAACTCAGTTGCACATTGTGGGAGTCCGAAGGCTAGGAAATGCTTGATCTACCAATCGTGATCATGATGATGGTGCTTCTGCCATTGCGGTGATCCTCATCTTATATTGTAACACTACTGATGCTGTTTCTTGTTTCCCAAGGTTGTATTGTCTCTACTTTCTCGGAGTTCGAATCAATGAATGCATTGCGAGGGGATGGAGACCTAGATGGTCTAAGTATAGATGTGCTTGAAACATGACAATTATATATCATTACTATTCAACTTGGAAGATTATCCTCCCGCCTGAAATCGAAAAGTCCAAGATGCCAGAAAGAGGCTATGTACCGAAATGGGTGTTTCGTCTTGCATATGTAGATATTTTAACGTCAAAAGGTTAGAACAAGTCATAACATGAAATTCAATTATAGACCGGAAGGCCGAGCCTGGACTACTTCGTTGACAAGATCCGATAGAGATATACATCCAACCACTCATGAGTAGGCCGGGTGAACATGAACTCCAAGAGAAAAAGCAAGAAACGTTCCATTGCTGGAGGTTGGACAGGAACATAGTTTTAATACTCGCATGGGGATTCATATTTTTGATTCCTTTGTTCCCATTTTTCTGCATGAAATTGTATTGCATAAAGTATTTCCAGAAACAAGGTCAAGGCCCAAGGCCAGTCAGACAGTACTCCAGCTCCGGTGCCCGTAAGTTCCATCATATCGCAACCATCACAGCGCTGCTCCTTTCCGAACACCTCCATTCCCAACTATTTCATAAAGAAATTTAGCGGGACTTGGCGGCGACCTTGGGGGCAGAGCCCTTAGCACCCTGCTTGCTCTGGATGCGCTGGGCACCGCCCTTGGAGGCGGCAATCTTGGCCTTCTCGGCCTTCTTGGCGCTGGCGGAAGCAGCCTTCTTCTCCTTGGCGTCCTTGATGGCCTGCTTGCGAGCAGCCTCACGGGCCTCGGGGCGCTGGGAGCGACGCTCCTTGATCACATCGAGGGAAGCACCGACGATACCACGCTGGTTCTTGACAACACGGCGAGTGCGCTTCTTGGCGACCTCCTATATATCCAAAAAATAACCCGGTCAGTAATCTGCAGTCGCATTTTCCATCAATTGAATCTGAATCATGGTGGTGACGTGATAATTCCTCCTCTTGCTCCGTCTCATGGTTGGCGTCACCATTCGATTAGGCCTTTTGTCCCTCCACACAATCTAACAGTAATCCAAGGGGAGGGGCGACCGACCTCAGAGATACCCTTGCGGTGCTGGCGACGGAAGAGAACAGTCCATGCGATGCGGCGGGGGTTCTTGCGCTGGAGGAAAAGGGACTCGGACTTTCCACGCTGGAAGCGGAAGATCTTGCTGTCGCCACGGACGAACAGCTTGCCCTAAAACATTAAAGATCAAAGATTAGCCTCAAGTAGCAACAAAAACACGGCGGAATTCATGTGCGACGGTTCGGCTAAGACGGAGTGCAACAATTGTGACGGTATTGAAATATCGAAATGTGAATGTCGAATCCGCGATGCCGTTGTTCCCTCGCACACAAATTCCTCCCAAAGGCGACGACTGGAATTGCAAACGCACCTTGCCAGGGTAGATCTTCTGGCCGCTGAAGGCGTCGTCGTAAGTACGCATCTTGACGGATGGAGATGCGCTGACGGGGGTCGGTTGGCGTTGAGTGGTTGTCGTAAATCGTGGATCGCGGTGATGCTACTGACCCAATTGTGGTGCGGGCGCTCGCTAAAGTGCGACACGTGACCGCCTCTGCCCTTTCCGGGTTTACTTATCGATAAGATCACATGATGTGACTGTCTTTTCCAATACTTCAATTCTTTATGATTTCTGGTCAGGATAGTTGCGTAGTTTGAATTTTATCACTTAAGTCTCTGCTTCCATCTACACGTTGCTATGGGTAAAAATGATAAAATACATAAAATGACATGAGATTCGCCTTTTTTTACTAACAAGTCCTCGGCAAAGCGCTTTCGCTGACCAACCACTCCTGGCTTCAATGAAGTCGAATTTCCTTGGAATCTGGACTACATATGCGGGTGGAAGCTGTCCGTAATAGAGCGGATCGAGTAGCATCCTCATATACAAGTATGTGTACTCAGTTTACATATACATATCTTCTTCGATGGCTCTCTATCAGAGTTGGAATGAGGAATAGATACAGTTAACATATGTACAATTCGAGGACCACATCCATGCAGCAAACGATACAACGATAAGTACACCTGTGGGGGCTGTAAGTGGCTGGACTACATTGGATGTATAATGACGGATGTGTTCCAGCTAAGAATGGCCGACTAAAGCCAAACACACCCGGCCTCGGGGCGTGGAGCCGACGACCTCAGGAGGTTGGTTCTCCGCAACGCCTTCTAGAAAGCCAGAATAACCTGAGACAAGGGTCATGGGAGGAGCAGAGAACGGAATCCTACTCAAAGCATGTTGCCCAATAACAAACGCTTGGAATTCAATGCCTGCTATCGCAGATAAAAAGGGTTGTCCTGCACTTCATGGTCACATAACACCAACGGACTTAGGTCATAGCATGTGTCCGAGTCCACTCCTTTGCCGTTTGGATAGCAGCAGGCTCATCGTCCTTCCATCTCTGAGCAACGTCATTGGCGAGCGGGTCATCGGGATTCGGGGCTCCAAGCAGTGCCTGGATCGAGAGTAGAATCGTACGAATCTGGAGAGCTGGAGACCAATTATCTGAAAACATGGTTAGATATTCGTCGTTTAAGAATGAATAATGCTGCATCTTACTCTTCAAGACATCCAAACAGATGCGACCGAGACGATCGATGTTGGGGTGGTAGATCTTGGTCAGGAAGCGGATTTTGGGTGGGGTCATAGGATAGTCGTCTGGCAGGAAGAGCTCAAGTCGGAAGATACCACCTGCAGAAAGCACGTTAGTACTTCAATTGACATGAAGGTTTTATTATCGTGAGCCTACCCTCGTATGGAGATTGTGCTGGTCCGTGAATTGAGACGTCGAAATAGCGGAGGTTATCGTCATGGGGCACAGCGTTAATGCCCGGAACACTGATACCCAAGCACAACATGTTAGCTGTTATACATTTGACTTTTCGAGCGAGATACTTTGCTTACGGCTCTGCCATCAGACGTTCTGTCTCCTTAATGATTCTCTTGGGTAAAGCCATGGTGAACCGGCTTATCGACTCGCGTGTAGACCTGGTTTAGTAATTTCAGACGAGCAGACTGTTCTTCAAGGCGACTAAAAACCTGCACCTTTTCGACGTTGACTGGGACCACAATATGTAATCGGAAAAGCCAACAGAGAAAAGTAATGCGCAAGATAACAAAAAATCCAGGTCCAGATCTCGACGTAACCGGCCGAGGGGCTCCTGCATGGTGGGGTTATTTCGCGTCCCGTATACGAGATCATGTGATGTCATAGTCCCACAGCCACAGCCACAGCACCAGCCACGTGCCTGTCCTTATCGCGTTATCGCAACCCAACTCTCCAGTCTTCGCGACAAGTCAAAGAATATAACTACCATATCCAAGCATGAAACAAGGATAGAGGATGCCATTGTGGAAAATGGGAACAGGTGCATCGCTACCAACTACATATGGTTTTGCTTTATCTGCATGGATAGACCTTTGACTCCTCGGTTCCTGCAAGATCGCGGCCCGACGAACACCGGAGATTAAACGCAGCGGCAGTCACAGTCACCATGTCTAGCTCAATGGAACCGAGACCTCTCACGTCGGCTATGGAGAGCCCGACGTTTGAAGAGGACAGCTCATTTCATGTAGAGCAACCGGTGGGCTCAATGTCAATATCCCCCTGTGGACGCGATGTCGTTCTAGCGTCCAAGGAGGGTCTACATGTCATCGACCTAGACTCGCCATATTCGCCACCGCGCTATCTCCCTCATCACACACCGTGGGAGGTAGCTGATGTGCAGTGGTCGCCATTCGCTGCACGCGATCAGTGGGTTGTCAGTACATCTAACCAGAAAGCATTGGTCTGGAATTTGGCCATGAAGACATGGCAGAACTCAATTGAAATTGTGCTTCACGCCCATACTCGAGCAATCACCGATATCAATTTCTCGGCATTCCATCCAGATATCCTAGCAACTTGTTCCGTGGACAGCTTTGTGCATTGCTGGGATTTACGTGCTCCGGCGCGGCCAGCGGTCTCATTTTCTGATTGGTTTACTGGTGCAACGCAGGTGAAATGGAATCGACAAGACCCTCATGTCATCGCAAGCTCTCATGACCGGTTCCTTCGGATTTGGGATGACCGCATGGGCGCATACCCGATTAAGTCGATTGAAGCACATAACACCAAGATCTATGGAGTTGACTGGAATCGTGTTCGACGCGGTGCTCTAGTTACATGTTCCCTAGATAGAACCATCAAGTTCTGGGACTACACCACCGATTCAGATTCCGATGTCCCAGAAAAGCAGATTCACACACCATTTCCGGTTTGGCGGGCACGCAACACGCCATTTGGATGGGGTATGCTTGCAATGCCACAGAGAGGCAACAATGATCTTCATCTTTACAGCCGGCGAGCTGGAGAGGACTCAAACCCAGAGGATGACTTGCCTTTGGTACATAGTTTTCCCGGACACAAGGGACACGTCAAAGAGTTCTTGTGGAGACCACGCGGAGGGGTAGCGGATGGAATTGACCACCGCGAATACCAACTTGTCACGTGGGGGACAGACAGGGAACTTCGTCTCCATAAAGTTGACCCTGAGATTCTGGCGCGCGTCGGGTACGAAAAGGGCAAGTCCTTTATTTCCACACGAACCGTGACACGTCTCGGTGCCGTATATCGGAGTTTCCGCGATGTGAATTCAGATTTGGATCTCGACGACCTTGACGTGGTTTCCTCTGTTGGGCAACAAAACCAGAATACTGCGGCAGGTAGTGGGATGAACGCCATTACTGTTCCTCACGCTCGGGGTTGGATAAAGGGAGGCCATGTTGACCGATTTGGCATGCAACCGAGGTCAAATTTAAGAGCCGACACAAATCCAATTGCTTGGATGCGCGGTGTGAAGATCTCAGGCTGGGACATTGAGACATTAGGAGATGAAATCAGCCAGGTCGGCGAAAAGTTCACCAAGGTGGCGTTTGATTCAGTTGATGTTCGACAAAGAAAGATTTCCATCTCTCTCAACGGGCCCTGGGGTGCTGACGGGGCCTCCTTGTTCTTGAAAGTAGATATCAAATTCCCAATGAGCTATCCCAAGACTGCTATCCCAACCTTTGCATTCCAAAAGACGGCAGCCGTCACAGATGAATGGGCTGCGAAGACCACCGCTGAACTGCGCACAATTGCTGAAACCTACATGTCCCGAAATCGAGGGTGCCTGGAAGGTGCTGTGCGTTATCTTCTAGGCGAAAGCAGTCTGGAGGACAGCATCGCGTGGATATTGGATGAAACTAGCGATAATCTCAAGTCTCCTGTTAACGGTGAACTGGAAGGCGAATCCAGCGACGAGGATGAAGTCGGCATGACCCAGAGCCAAGAACTGGGGATGAGCTCTGAGCTACTCCGTCCTGTCAATGCCAACGTCATGGTGCCTGTGGCCAAAGTATGCGGCGCGCTTTGGGCAAATGACGGCCGCCTCATTTGCTTCTTCCCGCCGAAACCAAAGAAGGATAAATCATCCGAGTTGTTCGAAAACATGGGCTTCAAAGAGATGACTCGCTGGTCTAGAGGCGATAAAGTTTTTGAAGGCTTCGGCCGATTACATACCAACTCACCCGGTCCACGCGGAACGGGAACGATAACGAGCACAGATGATGGTGACTCGGATGATTCGGACGAATCATACTCAGATACATCGAGCTCTTCGGGCTCCTCTGACGTTATTTCTGGGCTACCGACACGTTTCCCAGCACCTCGAACGTGGCGTAGTGCTGGCAGCTATGGCCTCCACCGGCCACGATCAACAGATAATTCTCAGCGATCGACTGCAGGTGGTGCCACAGTCAAATCAGAAGCACCCCAGAATATCGTATCTATTCATGATCTGAGTGATATGCTACCCGTCAAGCGGGAATTGGCGAGTCAATATCGCATATGTGGCAAAGGAACAGATGTATGCGCTCATAACGCGGCTGTTGCTCTTGATGCTGGATGCTACGAATTGGCCCAAATCTGGGGTCTGATCAAGTTAATATTGCATGTCCGAAAAAGCCCCCGCACTTTGCCTGAGCCAGGGCTGTTGCAAAGGCGCACACACAAAAAAGGGGGCGGAATTGGTGGTCTAGGACGAGATGGGCTGTATAGAGACTTGACGGGCAGTATCATTCGCTGGGGCGACCACCCCCTTGGTAGTCATTGGCTTGTCCCTGCTCTCTTCGAACACTTTGAGCGTATTGGTGATGTGCAAATGGTGGCAATGCTCTCATGCGTACTACTAGAAGCCAACCAAGAGGGATATTTAGAGAATCAGCAAGCCAAAAAGACACCCGGGACACATGATTTCTCAATGGATATCTCCCCTGTTGCATCGGCAATTCCAGCCAAGCCACAGGTTGCGATGCCAGCTTCAGCTGTCCCCAAAGAGGTCCAGGTTGCGCCCGAGACCTCAGCACGCTCGTCTAGTGAGATCTGGCGCCTCGATTCCACTCCCCCATATTCCACAGGCAGTACTCCTCCGTTCATGTCCCGTCCACGAGGCATCGCTGCTGACCGAAAAACCCCGAGCCACAATGTCTCCATGGCTGCATCACCTGATCAGCAATCCCAGGCACGAAGTGGATCTGGGTTTGGATCAGTGTTGGCGTCCTCATTATCTCGTTCATTCACATTCGGACCGTCGTCTGCGTCACCCCCAACAAGTAGGATGGACAAGAAAAAGCCTACTCCGCAAAACAGCCCAAGTGTGGCAGCTGGACAAGTGGTAAGTAGTTTCAATCCAGTTTTGAGATGCCCGCAAAGTTTGATATCTGACCTCGATTACTCTCTAGTCACAGACTCAATCGGAGACTGAAAGCAATCATGCAACGGATACTCCACCACCACCCGCAAGATTCAAAGTCACTTTCAAGAACCAAAATGCATTTGAAAGTGACGGACCAGCGCAAGACTCTTTTCTTGACACGGATGAGGAGTCGATGTATCGGTCATACCGCGTTGCTTATGCCAATCTGTTATCGATTTGGGACCTCCCCGTCCAACAAAGCGAGGTGATGAAGATTGGAGCCGTGGCTGATCGAGTGGACGACTTGACCTCGAGCCATTACTGGAACAGCATCATCTCCAAAGAGACCGCTTTGGAAGACCCACAGCCGGAGCCAAACTTCCAAGCTCTTGACTTCCAGCGCCATTGCGCCAGCTGCGGTCACGCGTTGCAGCTCTCCATCTTTAATAAACAATCCATAGACCCGAATAACCCCCCCAAGCGACACCAGCGCAAACAATCAGGCCGCCGATGCCCTAACTGCAAGCCTCGACAGCCACTGCCAACCAAACTACCCTGCGTCATCTGCGGCGAGGTGGTCGATGGTATGCTGATCCCTTGTCTGAGCTGCGGACATGTAAGCTGTTTCGACTGCCATCGACACTGGTTCCTTCGACCGGCCGACAAATTCGACAGCCCATTCGACAACCCAGACCAGAACAAGTTCCTTCCAACCTGTCCAACAGGATGCGGCTGTCAATGCTCCGAGCACATTGCCGTTGATGTCCCCATGCCCGTGTGGGAACCAGCATCCCCCGGCCCCACGGAATACGCACCCATCACCCAGCACAGCATTGTACAGGCGAAACACTCTCATCGCCGACAATCTGAGCCCGTTGTCTTGGATCATGGCCGAAAAGAGGCACAGCAGCCCAAGGGCGTTGGCCAACCTGAACACGATTTGGATGTATGGCAGGATTCGTCGCCATTTGCATCTCTGGCGCGTGGTCTCGGCGGTGGGCTGAGTCGTGGCTTGCAGCCGAAAGAAGCTCGGAAGAAGAATAAATCTGTCGCCGTGCCGTCGAATTTGAGGAATTCTTGATTTTTCAGGGTTGGCGTTGATCGGTGTTTATGGTTTTGCGTATATCCATTGCTTTCTGGGAAGGGCTTTCAACTTTTAACAACTTACTTGGTCAATCTGATTCATGAATTCAACGGTAGACACTATCCATATCATACATCATTGCGGAGTAGGCCGTAGTTCAAAAGGGTTTTAGGGGACTTTCTTCTCTACGAGCTCACTGCAATAAGGGTGGCATTGTAATTTAACACTTTATTATGAAATTCGGATGCTTGGCAGTTGACCGATCTAGATCTCCCAGGCGTTGAGCACGGACGACTGTGGCACCGGCCTTTGAAACTAGTCCAATATTAACCTTGAAACCCTGCGCACCAATTAAAACGACAGGGTATAGTTCCAAGACTTCACCCATGTACATGTCAACCTTGGAACAATTCACGACTACGACCATTTACTATAAAGACAAAGAATAGAAAGAATGAACTCGTGGCTTCATTAAAAGTACTTCACTCTTCAGGCAACTGAGCAAGCAACAGGGCGATCTAAAAATCCAGAAAACCGCTGTAAGCAGGGAGAAACAGTGGATATTTGCAAAACACAAACATCATCCGAATCCCCATCACCCACGAAACAACGCGCCAGCCTATTTACCCAAATCTATTTTTCAGAGCGAATTTACAGCTGCTTGAGGACATTCTCGGCGCGGGAGAGGTCCAGGCTGTTCTTGGCGACCTCCTTGGCGGCGTAGGTGACCTTACCATGGTCGATGACGATCACGTAGCGGTAGGTGCGGCCCTCCTCATCAGCCCAGCCGATGCTCTTGGAGAACTTGGCATCGGGGTCGGAGAGGAAGAGCTAGAAGAAACACACGAGTTAGTCAATCGAGTCCATGGTTTTGTTTTGGGGAATTGGTGGTTGGAAGGAGGTGATGGATCACATACAATATCATCTCCGGTGACACCGTTGGCCTTGCCCCAGGCGCTCATGACGTAGGCATCGTTGTAAGCAAGGACGGCAACCTGGTCGACACCCTTGGCGCGGAGCTCGGGGAGCTTCTGGATGTACTCGGGGACGTGGTTGGCGGAGCAGACGGGAGTGAAAGCACCTGTAGAGAGTGGCGGTCAGCACGAGAACCTTGCAGGAAGAAAATTGAAAATTTTCGAAAGAGCGGTCACATACCGGGAAGAGCGAAGAGGATGACCTTCTTGTTGGCCCACTCCTTGGAGGCGTAGTAGTTGATGGGGATACCGCAAGAGGTGATCTCGCCGGCCTCCTCAGACCAGGGGATGTAGCTGTTTGTTTGTTAGCTGGATTGCAATTGAGTGGGGTAACCATGACTCACGAGAAGACAACGTCCTCGGGGAAGGCGTCGCCAGCCTTGAAACCCTTAGTAGCCATTTTGATTGAATTGAGAGAGAGAGAGAGAGAGATTGGAAGTTAAGATTGTGGATACGGAGAAGAGAGGAAGGGGGGAAGAAGTGTATTTAATATTTATGGCTGACACATATCGGCCCATCGGGATTTAAGTGGGCCCCTTGGATTTACCTTGGACGTGAGGTGATCCGAAAAAGAAAGATACCGAACCACATGGATTATCAAGAAAGACGGCCGAGACTCGTTATCTGATTTGTATTCTGAACGAATCGGATCTAAGATGACTCAGCCCGTCTCTCTAGGCCATTAAGATAAGTTTCGGATTTAATATTTCTGGCTGTTCCTGGTCGTTCTTCGGGCTTCTTAGGAACAAGTTTATTGTTGTCATTGGCCGACAATTGAGGGACTGAGGTGGGGGATGATGTTATTCAATGCCTGATATACAAGGCAGAAGGTGGGATGATAAGGTCATGTGATCTATATGCATGAGTGCCTGGGTGCCTTGATACATCTCTCAAGCCAAAGACTCCTTGATGTCGATGACGTTCAACTCGAAGACGCAAGATCCGATGTGAAACAACCCATATGTAACACTATAGCTGCATGTACAATACCTCTGGAATTTTATTGAGATAGACTAAGCCATAGCTTGCCCAACATCTTCTTCAGACGTCACCTTGGATCGTCACTAGTTATATTCACGCCACTTGCCCGTGCTCGCATATAAGAAGAAGCGAGACATGTCTTGCTCTCGCTCATTCAACCCACTAAGACAAGTTTTCTAGTTCTATACTCAATCAGGGCGTCCACCATGCTGTGGCCTAACCCACCGTGACACCCTGCGAGCACGCAGCTATTGCTGCTGCTAACCTTGGAATGCCATGAGGCCGGGGAGCACTCTTGAGTATGACCTTGTTAGATGCTGGGCCGCAATTTAGCACAATCTGACCAATGTGACGTCCTTGACCAAATTATCAGAAGGGCCTTCTCCATCCCAGTGTGTGATGTCTTAGTCTAACTGGGTGAATTTTGCCTTAGGGGAGGAGCTTCATCGCTCTGCCAAAAGCCTGTTTTTACCTGTTATTGCGCTCCATGCAATAGGCCTGGGATAATATCTAGGATTCTGTCGTTTAGCAATTCCCCGTTCCTCTAGGATATAGTTCAGGTCAAAGGAGAGGAAGCTAATGCTCCTATCAAACACATACAAGCCCATATTTATTATCTAGGACGTTTCCGCACTCAGCGTCAATAATCCTCCCACATGGCACTAAACATTTCAAGCTCTCCTGACGTCCGACATTAGAGAGCGTTTAGGGGACAACATCAATACCGCGACCTCGTGTTTGCCTTGGTGGTTCATCTTTTAAACTTAAGTTTGAGACTAGAAGATATGATCTGCGGGAACCTCGTATATAAAGATGCGATATCCCTTCTTTAGCTATATTCCCACTATAGCGTCGTTTTCTAGGACCATTCATATCGACCTTCTTACCTTAGTATGTGCCCGTTTTAGTACGTACACTATACTAACATAGTGCGGAGCGACAATAAGTGAGGTTTAGGAAAAGCTTTGAGAGTTACCAGTAGTCCAGCCAGCTAAGAAGACTTATAACCTATAGAGATCACTACATAAAGAATATCACTATGAAGAAAGACTCGTGTGATTCCTATGACACGAAGTGGAGGGAGAGCTAAGGAGAGAGAGAGTAGCTAACTACATTATTCCATTCCGATGGGAGGACTGACATCCCTCAGGCCAGCAAACAGGAGTGAAGGCCCTGTCTACTTTGGCAGTCAGGCTGCTTCCATAAAGTAAAAAGAAGGAGACTTCATTCAATTCTTGTTTGTTTCTTCCGAACGCCGATTTCTCGTTCAGCATCCTTCTGTTTTACAACTCAAGGGTCATATCACACCCCCGCCATCTTCTCTTTCTCAGAAGCCATCAATTCTACCATTCTTCGTACTCCATACCGAGAAGGAACCTGATGTTTTTCACCATGTCACCGTCCCGTGTCAAAACAAGACCACTAGAATGTGAGAATACTATGCTACGCCTCTATCTAGAATCATGTTGACTAATTTGCCTAGTTTGCCCAAATTGTGCTAGCTACCTGACCATCTCGCCCCGTCTCGCCGATTCAGCCCCGGGGTTTCAAAACTACTTTACTTGCCGAGCATGCCCATACATCTTTCCGGTGTCAGAAAGTGAATCTTCTGGTGACAAGTTCTCTGGCGATAACGAGACCACCGACAATGAGGCTGTCGGTAACAAGGCTGTCGCCAACGATCCTGTCGCCAAAGCCACCAACGAGCCTGCCAAATAAGGCTGTCACCAAGGAACTTGTCGACGATGAAGCTATTATCGGTGAATCTGTCAACGGTGAAATTGCTGACCATATCTCGTGGGGATGTCTCTGAAGCATACGTACATACCGCTGTCAACGCCTATCAAATTTGCTCCTTAAAGCCGTATTAATGGTTGGATCAATATTTATCTAGTTTTTCATAAGACCCTTGAGTACTATGTATTAGGAGATAGGTAAGCTAACTGCAGCGGGAAGGCTCTTTGGCGTGTTCAGCGAAATAGTAGCATGATAGGGATCCCGCATTGGCAATGCCTCGGGTTAATTTGCTGTATTTAATCGAAAGCAAAGTTTCCGACTTTAGTAATACCGCTTTGGACACCCAAATTGAATACATATTCACTTCTACTTTCACTGATTCCATCTTGAGACCCATACTGCCAGTATCAGAATGTCATTTATAGATCAATGCCAGTAAAGGAGTCAGGCGGAGTCGTACATGCGCCTCTAACTTCCTTTGGAAATATATCAGCAACTTCCCGTGGAACGGGTTTGATAACCGGGGTTGAGCAGCGGATTTCGGGATTCAAATGTGAGCTCCATATATAAATGCCCTAATTGTACTATGATTGCACGACATATTCATGCTATGGCAGAAGCAGATTTACTATCGAGTCAAAAGCCATTGCCGACCGAACCAGTTGTACAGGACTCTCTTCGTGCACCAGCAGAAGAACACAGGGAAGCACCAACGCAATCTAACAATGACCATGACCATCTCACCCCAAAGAAAACATGGCGTTTCTGGGCTGTGTTCCCAGCACTATGCGTGACAACTTTTCTCTCAGCCCTCGACACATCCATTCTCTCAACTGCCCTTCCCACAATCGCCCTTGAGATTGACGCCGGCGAACTATACATGTGGATCACAAACTCATACATTCTATCATCGACGGTAGTCCTACCACTCTTTGGCCAGACCGCGAACATCTTCGGTCGAAGATGGATGTTGATCATCTCGGTTGTCCTATTTGCCTTGGGGAGCGGCATGGCCGGTGGTTCGAAGAACACCAGACTGCTTATCACGGGACGAACAATCCAAGGCATCGGCGGCGGTGGTATCAATACCCTCGTGGACATCGTCATTTGTGACCTTGTCCCCCTTCGTCAGAGAGGTAAATATGTCGCGCTCATGGCAGCTGTGTGGGCAGTTGGAACAGTGATCGGCCCCTTGCTAGGCGGTGCATTCGCCCAGTATGTCTCGTGGCGTTGGGTCTTCTATATCAACCTACCGCTTTGTGCTGCGTCAATTCTGCTGCTAGTGCTATTCCTGCGAGTCACCCACCCGCGCAGTGGTGGTACTGTGTGGCACCAGCTCAAGCGGGTGGACCTCGTTGGTAATTCTATCCTTACAGCTGCCGTTATCTCGATTTTGCTCGCTCTCACTTGGGCTGGAACAACCTATGCTTGGTCTTCATGGCGTGTTATCTTACCTCTTATCCTAGGATTTGGAGGACTCTTCCTTTTCTACCTGCATCAGATCTCACGATTCTGTGCCGAGCCCTCAATTCCACTCCGGCTGTTCTCAAGCGGCACTGGAACCTGCGCACTGTGGATTGCTTTCCTTCAATCTGTCCTGCTATACTGGGTTGGATATTTCCTGCCAGTCTATTTCCAAGCTATACGTAATTCGACTGCCACGGAATCCGGGCTATACGTGCTTCCCATCACAGCCGCAATTGCACCTTTTGGTATCATCACGGCATTTATCATCGCCATCACTGGCAAATACCGCATCTTCCACTTTCTGGGATATATATTCCTCACGATTGCCAGTGGCCTCTTCTCGCTCCTAGATGACCATTCACCTGCTCGCGACTGGGCTGGCTTTCAGATACTCTTTGGCGCTGGTTCTGGTATGATCTTATCCAGCACCCTACCTCCGATTCAGGCATCGCTATCCGAGTCCGATGTGGCTACTGCAACTTCTACCTGGGCGTTTATGCGTAGCTTTGGTTGTATATGGGGTATTGTTATTCCAACTACTATTTTCAATGCACGGGTCCAGGAGCTGCTGTATCGCGTCAGTGATGTGTCTCTGCGCGCAAAGCTTGCTAATGGCGGTGCATATGCTATGACCAGTCAAGGGCTGATGAGTACCTTGAGTAATACCCCGAATCTAATGGCGGAAGTGCTCAGTGTTTATCAAGATAGCTTGCGGTGGGTTTGGTGGATTTCGATCCCGTTTGGTGGTGTCGGGTTGCTTCTCTGTATACCCATCAAGCAATTGGAGCTCACGGAGGAGTTGAATACACAGTTTGGACTACACGATGCTACAATAAATAAAGAGGGGTGAATCGTCAATTTCATTTTGTTATAGATGGATGCATGTGGCTATTTGGGAATATTATCAGAGGTTATGAGACAGGGGGTCGTCACAGATGTTTCAAGGCTCCTGTGTTTGTATGTCTGATAGCTTGTTCCTTTAATCACCCGCATATATCGCTTTCTATCCGTCGGTGTATTCTTTTCTTGGGATGACTCGGCAGAAACCACCCCGTGTCACTTCAAAAATCATCGGGAAAAGAAATATCGAGATACCATGTTAATGCCTTGTATCATTAACATGGGGCGTCGTCTCCATCAAACGAGCTAAAGTAACAGCTTCCCGAAGCGCCCGTCCAACATGTCCACGCACACCAGCCTCTTCCATCACCATCAACCCACCAATCGTGCATCCCTCAGGAGACGTCCCTTGATCCTTCAACAGAGCAGGGTGAATACCACTCTGAAGCATCGTCGCCGTCCCTTGCATTGACTGAAAGATCATAGTATGAGCCAGATCCCGTGGAAGACCAACTGCCACCGCAGCATCAATCATCGCATCGCAAATCACAGCGAAGAAAGCCGGCGTTGAGCCCCCGACAGCGGTAGTAGCATTCATCAACCTCGGATCAACATGTACCGCCTTGCCAATCTGCTCGAAGATCGACGTCGTTATCTGGAGATACCGTTCCGGCAATACAGGCTCCGATGTCTCAATAGCCGTAAGCGACTGAGAGACCTGGGCTGCGATATTTGGCAATGTGCGCACCACCCAGGCCCTGTCTGCTGTATTGTCGGTGGTGGTTGCGCTGCCGTATAGTGTGGTTTCGAGCTTTTGTCTCGTCCAGCCGGCTGCAATGCTGATGAGAAGTTTATTGGATAAGGCCTCACGGAGCCCGGGTTGTGTCAGGACGGTCTCGATATCGGCGGGGTCGGCGCCTAGAATGATCACGTTGGCGTTTTGGACAGCTTGGACACCGTTGCCGCGAGAAATGGTTATTTTGTCCAGGGATTCGACGAATCGCTCGGAGATTCTCCTCTCTGAGATTTCACTGCGCACGCATGCGGTGTATCGAGCAAACGGTAGCTCTTTGGACCTTTCCGCGGGTGCATTGACCAAGCCATCTAGGATGGCAATGCCTAGGTTTCCTACAAAGTAGGAGCATTAGTCGATGTATTTTACCTATGGGCTTGCGCACTTACCACAGCCTAGGATGCAAAGAGTTCCCTCTTGGATATCCATTTGATTGACGTTCAACTCAGGGAAAGTAAATTATTGGAAGGAATCGAAAGCAGCACAAGTTTTGAAGAACATCGGGAGCATTTCCGAGTGTGGAGAATCCATACCCCGCTTGAATCGAATCTGTACATGCACGGATGAGCTGGGTTTTAGCATATTCGTATCTTTCAAGAGATGTGCTTTTCTCCAACTGTGCTTTGTAGCTCTCGCCTTTACGCAGCTGCATACATCCCTGGACAAGTGTAGTCAAACATGTAGAAATCTCGAAAGAGGCTTGAAAGCAATCTCCATAGTTTAAATAGAAATACAATAGGAAACATATCGGCGGAACATCGGAAGTCCTCCCGATTATCGGCCGCTAATAGTTTCCCCTCACACTCCTCACTGCTTTTCCTATCTCAGGCCCTTTTTCTCCAATTCCGCACAATATGACGGGGTTGAGAATGCGGGGAGAATACTATATCAGCTTAATAGCCCGCAAATAGATGTTTATCTTCTTTAATGGCTTCCGCATCAGATTCTATTATTATTGTCGGCGCTGGTGCCGCTAGCCTCTCGGTAGCACTACATCTTTCTCTACGAGGCTACACAAATATCTCAGTGTTTGCAAAAGATGATTATATCCCTTTCGGAGATTTGACAAATGTAGTGTACCCCTAGAAGCCGTTTATTTTCCATAAAGGAAAAGGGGGTAGAATAATTGCTGATGGCTATATAGGTCTATCGCTCAGCACAAGATGCAGGCGTGCAATTTTTCTTGGGACAACAAGTCGACCAAATAGCCTACGTGAGCACATTGACCGGGAAAAAGAGCGCCGGTATCCGCACAAGGAATGGATTTTATCCCTCCTCGCTCGTCATTATCGAAGCTGGGGCTGGGGATAATTCATCCGAAATTGGCCAGTTGCATGGCCCCAACTCCTTGGCCATACCCCTCTCTTCCTACACCAACACCAGCTCGAAGTCTCTTGTTGAATACGTCCCACAAACGTCTTTTTCGGTTATACTGCTGTTGAGAAACCCAGTACAAAGCTCCCAGATATCTTTGGTGGGACCGCTGGTCCTAGATCTCTTGGCGGCAAGGAGTGGTCAACAGTCGGAGAATTCATCTCAACCCTTGTCTAAGCTGTGAAGGGGTTTCATCGACCTAAAAGCAAATCGATATATTCACTATCATTCAATAATTCACCGTCGAAACTGACTGGATCTCCGTGACACCGACCGAGGCCGGCGATGTACAGTAGAAGTTTCTACGAAGTAAATATAGAAAATATCAAAATTCAACCTACATCTACTCTATTCTTCAAACGTAAAACAGCATGATTTTATTCATGAATTATTTAGACGCCAGAACCCAGGCACTAAAATCAATGAGTCGATGTTTGCTGCCGCCGACGAGGCCTATCAACCCGCTCAGGGTTAACCAATTCAGGAGCTCCCGGAATCAACACAGCCCAACCAAGACAGGGGCGACAAGAGCCCATCCCAAAAGCCTCAGTAATACGGAGGACGGGACGTGGATTGGGACAAGGTACTCGTCTCTCACGGGCATTCGCTTCTTTACAGCGCTCGATCCACACTGCTTCTGTGTGTCCACAACCACTGATGCCGCAGTGGCCGCGATACCATTTATAACGCATTTTGCACATGATGGGTGATGGGGTTGTTAGAAATGGTAGATCACAGGCGTAAGTACTCGTGATACTAGTCTTGGGGGGAGACGCTGTGGTAGAATATGGAGTTTGGGAAGAAAACTTCCATATTTGTAGGATCTCAAAAAGGTTTATAGAACTCAATGAAATAAATAGCATTGTGTTTGGATTTCTTTCATCCTAGACTTTGCCTTATCTGAGATAAAGAGATCTGTGTATGGCACAGCTATGATTGGGAACAAGGCATTATTTTTTTGATATCTTTGTTCTAAATATAAACTATTCCTACATCGGTTTTTCATACAACATACTTACTACATGCTACGAAGGAGGCCAGAGCTAGATTGAAGTATAATGGGTTGCTTCATTTGTCTTCGCAATCTGGTCGATTGACAAGCCTCGTTTAGGTGTTTTGGACCCAAGACCTAGTATCCGACTCTTGAAGGTTCAATGCAAATATGACATGCCAGGAATCATCAATTAAGACCAATGAAGCATTGGCCACCGCGCGTCATGATCTCAACAACCGTAGTATGGGACGTATCATTTCCTCGTCCACAACCATAGCCGAGTCGCCCTATATTATTAGTTAAAATATAACGAGTAGCAAAACTTGAACCAATAATTGTTGCGTTTAGAGTATCGGAAGCTTGAGGCGATGAAAAGGTCTTTAGAATGGATCCAAGGACGTTCTGCAGTGTTAGTATCCGAACTACAGAAGGTACTATTGGAGGAAAGTCTGACTTAATGACAGCATTTCGGTATAGCAACTAAACACCTGTGGAAGTCAAAGGGGTGAAAATGACCCTGAATATGTAACAAACAGTACAGATAGAAAGTTACATACTAAACCGCCCTAGATCGATGCACTGTATGGTGACCAGGAATATGGAGATACATAATCCTATTTCTATCAAGGCTTAACTACCATGACTGTGGATCACAAGGGACCTGGAAATTAAATGACATTTTTGTTCCTACCTTCGAACCTTATAAATTGTGCCCTAAACATAGTTCATCTGATGTTGTGGCTTGGGCGTTACTAGGGAGCTCAAACCACAACGATCATAAACAAGGTAACCAAAATGAATATACGGTTGCCTGGGAATATTGTTCCCGTGCTTGAAGATCCAATTGTTGGGTTTAGCTTGCTTGGAAGTTTAGCTTAAGATTTATATATATTTGACATAGTAGTGGACTCGCTTGTGGTTAGAAAGAATATATATATTTCTCACATTTACTGGAACATCTACCCAAATGTCAATTATAAACCAACAATCTAGCGAATATCCTGCCTCTCAAGCCTGAACAATGAGAAGAATTTCATTTATTTATTAAGAGGACTTATATTATTAGTACATCTTTTTTGTTGCAAGATCCAGTATATCTGCCTGCTGGCTATATGGCCAGTGATTTGTCTGTCAAAACACGTTATAATTTTTGCCCCCAAGTCCATTGTATTAAATTACTTATATACTTCTTTTCATACAAATCTGTCCTAGATTCTTCTAAGAATAAGCAACACATCCATTATTGGTATTAGGACCTCCACGGCAACGTTGGCCATGACGCGGACATGACTAAAGCTCTCTGCGGGTCCAGGGCTTGGAAGGGGTCAAGTCTACGCAATCCGACCTGAAGACTAATCTGATCTCATACCTCGAAATTCTCACCATGGCAGATCTCAAGCCACAATTTACCGTGGAGACTGCGCAGAAAAAAGTCAAAGCAGCGCAGGATTTGTGGAATACGAAGTACGTCTCGGATTTCTTATCTCTATGACCCTTGATAGACCATGTGGTCGAAAAAAGGGCATTGAAGGTTTCATCCCTTGCATTCTTGCCGACTTGTCGCTGCGGATTGTCCTGGGCACGAGCATACCTCTAACGGGAAGGGTGCATCTTGCGTTCTTGAGATGGACTGTTTTGGCAAAAGTGGATGACGTAGTGATTCCCTCTGACCTTGCACGATTAGGGACCCCGCCCGAGTCGCTCAGGCATACACCCCAACGTGTATCTGGCGTGTTCGAGATTCGTTCTTTACCGGGACAGAGTCTATCGTTGCGTTCCTGGAAGCAAAATGGAAACGCGAGCAGAGTTATCGACTTCGGAAGGAACTTTTTGCTTTTGGGGATGATCGCATCGCTGTGCAGTTTTGGTATGAGTTTCAGGATGCCCAAGATGGAATGCGCTGGAAGAGGTGTTATGGGTTGGAAGACTGGACTTTTGATGGGACAGGAAAGATGCGCAAACGTATGATGAGTGGGAATGATGTCCTAATCGGACCTGAAGGGAATGGTGAGGGACGATGGTTTACAGATGGCGTTAATGTGAACGATGCACCTATTAGTGAACAGCATTGGTGATGTTACAATGGATATGGATGAATCTGACTAGTTGAATGGGCACTGAGAATGTATTATGGTACCATTACTGCGGAGCTCTATACAAAGTTCACATAATGAAGGCTAGCTGTATGTATATACTGTGCATCTTTATCTCGACTCTTACTTTGACCCCAAGAACCGGATATCAGAACATGAAGAACTTAAGGGTATGGAATGCTCAGCATAAATAAGACCCCTGTACAGATAAGATGGCTTTGTGGCCCTAGAGTTGAGGGTGGATTTGTTGTTATACCCCTTCTTTAGGGGAATGTCGTCTCTCCTGTCGATCGCAATTGATGTTGACCATGAGAGAGCATTACATTTATACGAGATCAAAATGTTCAAGAATGAATCAAACATGAGTCTGGGATAATAAGAAAAAAAAGAGAAGAAGAAAAAAAAAAAAAAAAGCAAATCCATTCAGATAGGCGCCAGCGGAGGTAGAGGTGTGAATAGTGACAGCTCGGACGGTTCTGCCTCGTTACCGTCCTAGGTCAAATCCCACAATACGATAGACAAATATGCCCAGGTGTATACATGGAATCAAACAACTAGTAAACATATAGTAAACAGTAAACAGTAAACAGTAGACGGTGCTAAGTACATTCCGATGGGAAGGAAGGAATTCCTCTCATTCCAGTCCAAGCATGCCAACCTCTTCTTCAACGACACTTCCAGTCTTTCCCCCCTCAGTCTTGTGTTTTCATCTCATTTTCAGTTTGGGTTTGTCGCTTGAGATCATTTGTCTTTTTTTTTCCCTTCTCCCGCTGCATCTCCGTCAATGATGTGGTGTTGACTAGCCCTTGTCACTCTTTGGTCTTTTTCGTCTTTCTTTCCCAGAGAAGTCTGGAGCCGATCTTTACACCAAACTTCTTCTCATTGACAGTTTGAAGGAGTTGTATTTTTTTTTGCGTTTTACCTAATTTCCCGTGCGTTGGGTATGATCTCTTTGTTGACGTTAAACGGGCAGCTAATCGGGATCTAGATTGACGACTAATCACCCAACTTTGACCAGAACTGGAAAGACTTGGAAACGCCAACATGTCTCATACCAGATCTAGCTTGGACCAGAGGATGTCGGACATTAATGAGTCCCAGCGAAGACGTCAGCCCTTGGGAGATGTGTCGAGCCGGATGAACCACTCCAAGTCGCCAAATGTCGAGACACCGCGCCTGAGAATCGAGGAATCTGAGCAACTGAAGAGTCCTGACCGGATGTCGCTTTGTATGACTCCAACCCCGCAACGAAACAAGGAAAACGAGCGCCTCTCCGTGGCCACCGATGTCCAGTCCAACTCGGCCCGAAACTCCATCATGTCTGCAGCATCCATCCTGTCAACCAAAGGGAAGAGAAAAACACATGTGGGACCCTGGCAGCTGGGACGAACACTGGGGAAAGGGGCCACTGGACGGGTTCGACTGGCTAAGCATGCTGTCACCGGACACACGGCGGCGATCAAGATTGTGTCAAAAAAATCAGCTGCGATGGTTCAGAGTGAGAGTATCGCGGCAATGGACCGAAACATGGGGAACTTCCCTACCAACCCAGCCACCCGACAAATGCCTTGTGGTATTGAACGTGAAGTGGTCATCATGAAGTTGATTGAGCATCCGAATGTAATCAGTCTCTATGATGTTTGGGAAAACCGTGGAGAATTGTTTGTCCCCACCACCTTTGGAACCGAAAGCACACTAACACTATAGCTAGGTATCTTGTTCTTGAACACGTTGAGGGTGGAGAGTTGTTCGATTATGTATCTAAGAATGGACCACTACCGGAAGAAGAGGCCGTGCGACTGTTCCGACAGATCATTGCGGCCCTTGGGTATTGTCATCGTTTCAATATCTGCCACCGCGATTTGAAGCCCGAAAACATCTTGCTTGATTCAAACCATAATATCAAGCTTGCTGATTTTGGTATGGCCGCGCTGCAACCTGCAGGCCACTGGTTGAACACTTCCTGCGGTAGCCCTCACTACGCAGCACCGGAGATCATATATGGTCGAAAATATCGTGGTGACAGAGCTGATATGTGGAGCTGTGGTATTATTCTCTATGCCCTTTTGACTGGTTACTTGCCTTTTGATGGAGGAGATTTGGGAAATACCCTGCGGCTTGTGAAGAAAGGAGACTACAGCATACCTTCCGAGTTGAGCGATGAAGCAGCCGATCTCATCCAGCGTATCCTCCAAAAGCGCCCAGAGGATCGGATATCCATGAAAAACATTTGGTTGCATCCATTGTTAACCAAATATGAAAAGCTTCACAATGCCATGGTCGACCACTACGTCGGTCCTCCTCCCGCCCTGTCGACGAAGGACTGCGGCCAAACCTTGTCCTGTCAACAGGACATCGACCTGGATATCCTCCGCAATTTGCAGACCTTGTGGCATGATGTTAAGGCCGAGGACTTGATTCAACGGCTTCTATGCATCGAGTAAGTACCACCTGCTCATTATTAAAACGAGATACATGATGCTAACAAAACCCTCTTAGACCGACTCACGAGCGAATGTTCTACAACGCTTTGGCAAAATTTCGCGATGAGCAGCTAGAGAACTACCAAGGACAGCCTCTAGAGTACTCGGCTAGTGACTATCACCACATCTCCCGCACCAGTGGTAAAGTCCGTCGAGGCCGCAGCCAGACAGGCCAGGGTAGTTCCAAGCGCCGCGCTCAATGCCCATCTATTAAAGAGTTCCCTCGTCGTCTCAGCTCCTTCAAGGAGCCGAGGTCCTTCAGTACTATGGAGACCTATGACCCATACCGGTCACCCAAGCACGGCAGCACAGCATCGGAAGCCCAGTCCCATATTACTGTCCACCAAGAGTCATCAGAGCAATCGGAAGCTATGCTATCGTCGCCAAGGGTGAAGCCTCCCCCTTCAATTATGGAAGAGGAAGAGCCAGAGGAATTGGATGGACCGGATGGCTCACCATTCACTGTTGTCCAGAAGCGGAAGCACGGGCCCAGCTCTCTGAAGTCTTTCGTCTCTTCCAAGGTCCCTCATTCCAGCTCCCGCACTCCAGGAGTGCCGGCACATTCCATGAGCTATCGTCGCAACGTTTCCTTCCATCACGCTCGCAACCGCTCTCATGGATCTACAATTGGAAAATCCAAGAAGAGAAAGATGAATCAGAAAAATGAGATCAAGCGGTCCCCGAGCACCTGCAGCTTGCAGCTTATGGCAGATGGCCTCGACCTCCCGGGCATGCCAAGTAGCCCACCCCTACCAGCACAGCCAACCGTGGTCCGAGCGAATGCTCCAAAGGTGAAGAGCATGGGCCAAGCCAGAAAAGTCCGCGATTCAGACTACACTTGGAAGGAGGACACTCGAAAAGTCTCCCATGAGCTCAGCCAGATCTGTGAGGAGGCATTCAATGGAAGCTCTGTTACAACCATTCGCACTACGAGCGGTGGCTCTGGATACGAAACACCGGCAACTCCAGTGTCAATGGCAAGCCCTGAGCAAGTTCCAGCCGCCTCAGGAATTCCAGTGTTTAACACTTCCCAGGAGTCATCCCGGTCTTCCAATATCAAGGTGCTTACCGAGACACGTCAGAAGTTCGTTGAGCGCAGCCGGGGCCAAAATGATAATGTTCGTGCCTACCTTTCTGGTGTCATCTCTCATCTCGATCGCTTGATTGAATACGACCAGGCCCAGGATGGTACACGGAGAGAGTCGGATGTAGCATCTTCCCAAGATCCTTTCGTCACTTCGTTGAACGAGGCCTTGCTCCCTGTTATCAAGGAGGATCGGGCAAGTCCTGTTCGCGCGCCCAGTGAGAAAAGCCCTCGACGCAAGCCAAAGCAACGGAACCCGCTCGCTCCATCTCAGGGGGGCGATGCTATGGCAACCATTCGAATGGTCCCCCACAGCTCACTCTCCTGCATGGACGAAGTTAAACCTCTAACCATTAGGAAGAAGAACTCCAGTAAATTTGCTTCGTTGGATGTTCATGAATTCGCTATGAGTGACTCCCCGGGCCGCGATCAGGGCTTTTCCATTCGGCCTCGACATGCTGGTCAATCTACTGGGCTGGATCCCATCGAAGAAGTTCCTCTGTCCCCCAAGAAGACAACAGCCCGGGGTCCCGATGCGAAGAAATGGTCATGGTTCAAATATCGCCCTCAGGGCCCAGATAATCCTCCTGCTCTCCCCCCCAAGGACAGCCACCTCATTATTCCCAGTGGAGCCACCACTGTGCACACCCCAATTACCATCCAGCCCGCTTTGCCTCCAAAAGCCGAGAATACCGAGCGAGTCGCAAGGCGAAAAGCATCTGTAGATCGCTTTGGGGGTGGCTTTTTCAAGAAACTTCTAACAAAAAAGTCCAACCAGAATATGCAAGAACTTCCTGTTGGTAAGTATAACACCGGCAATTTTTGTGTAATATTCTAACCAATATAGACAAGGAGAAAGGCATGGAAACCATGCCAACCAAGGATAACCGTCACTCTTCTCTGATGTGCAAGGGACTTGCCGACACCGACAGTTCCATTGAAGCCGATGATTCGCCAAACCCACCCCGCAACAAGCGCCGCTCGATTGCGAATCACAACTGGTTTGCGCGGGTTTTCCAAATTAAGCCCGCTACACATGTCATTGCGTTGAGCACATCAAAGTCCAAGGCACGCAAGGAACTTTACAAGCTCCTTCGCGAGTGGCGGGACTTCGGCATGGAGGATGTGTACCTCGATAGGGCCAACAGCATCGTTCACGGTCGTATCAGCGAAGCAAATGGTAAGTTACTCATTTTATCAGATATAGCGTCTTTACTAATCTTAATCTCCCTTTAGTCCTCCATCTCCGAGAGGTTGAGTTCACTGCTGAATTCTACACTGTCCTTGAGCACGGCGACCCAGCCAACCTCAGCTTGGTCCGCTTCAAACAGGAGCGTGGTGCCGCCTCGTCTTTCAACAAGGTCGTTGAGACTGTGCAGAGCACCCTCATGCGCCGTGGCATGGTTGTTGAGGACCCATATCGTGCAAAGGAGATGTCGCGCATTCTCGACTCTGTTCCCAACCGCAAACGGGTTATTTCATGACACATTTTCTTAATATCCCTCGATTTTGCCACCAAGCATCTTCTTTGAAAACTATCAGCCAACTATCGTCTTTTATTTCTCAACATTGCGCCCGCAAAACACCCCACAAGCATGCTGCGTTCCAGCCCTGCAAAAGCATTTCCTTTGCATCTCATCGTCTGACCATTCACATCCACGCTCATTTTCGTCTCATACAAGATCCCAGAAACCACACAGGCCCAGTATTGCTGGCCACATTCATATTTTTTTTTTTTTTTCTTCAATCATTTCTTGTCTGCCAGCCACTTTCTCTACTTGTTAATTATCTATTTCTTTTCATCCCAAGTTTTTTCCTTCTGAGTTCCTTTCCCATTCGGTAATCCTAGCAGATACTCTAGTCCTTTGATTCTCTCCCTTCATTCCCTGGTTTTGGCACGTCAACAACTTGGCATAATGCTTAATTTCGGCGCCTGAGATATTTGTTCCCCACCCATATCCTCGCTATTCTAGATCATCGAAGCCTTGAAGATGTCCATGTACTTAAATAGTGCTATCAAAGCATCTGTGCTAGTATTTTCCATCCGCTTGATTATCCTTGGTGTATATACATAGTACTCCCAAATCATCCGTCCAGATTAGGGCAAGTCACGTGGTGGGTCTTCACATACCTATATGTTGGTACCTACATAGGTACGTCTACCCCTGCCGGCTCTCCAACGTACATACATACGTACATAAGTGGTCTAGGCAACGCTGGATGTCACAGGTACATGAAGTACCATGAAAAGAATGCAATACTCGAGCTCCATTATGCAGCCAAGATTCCCCCTTCGCAGGGGACAAGCCACCAATATTTCCGTTGTCTAAGACCTAGAAGGCATTCAACCCTTCTAATACTACCCCATACTTCGATAAGAAAACCCGATAAGCAGGAAGTAAGGGAAATGGAACCCCAGAATACAGAGAAAACTAGGAATGCAGTCCGGATCGGATTTTCACATTGAAACGGTTGGATCTGCAAAAGGGAGAGGAATACGGTGTAATTCGCATATATTTCATCAGAAAGCGCTCAGAGATACAAGATCCCAAGGTGGAATAGCATGCGGCAATAAGTGAATAGCAGAAAGAGTTCAAACAACCTCCGGATATAAGTATAAGCAGATATTTGATAGCGAAAAGACAGGCAGTAGCAAGAACACGAAACAGATATAAGATCAAAACAGTTCCAACGATGATCAACGCGAAGGGAAAAAGATGACACAGCCGACCCACGTCTTTTAGTCGCGTAGGCGAAAAAGCAGATGGCCACACATACATCCGTGAAAGACGTAAAAAGAGTAAAGAGACGAATGCCTTCCCAGTAATGTAAAAATGAAGAACGAACCCGAGTGAAGGACAAAAGCTGACATTGCAAAAAAGCGATGAGTGAAAACAAGATAAATTGCAAAAAAAAAAAAAAATACAAATAGCCACCCGAAAATCAAATAATGCGGACGATTGTCTGCGCCTCGTAGTGAAATGGATTCCACGGAAAAGACACCCGGACAGAGTGTGACATGCGAGTTAAACCGATTGAGGTTAGCACATGAACTGCATGCATCCTGAAAATGCCAAATCACTCTCTGAGCAAATCCAATTGGATTCGCAATTAGTCAGATATTGGAGCCGAGAAAGATAAATAAAAAAAGAAATAGGGAAGTAAAAATTCATATGCCGATAAAACCAGAGCCCATAAGTCTGGAAGTTTCAGTATCAAGTTCAAATTCGTGCTCGTGAAGCTCGTGGGTTCGCGTTTTGTGACCTTGCAAATAGATCAGAGTATGACGTTCTTGTGGCGTTCATCCAGGTACTCGTCATTGTCTGGAATGTGATTCCGAAGCTCCCCTTGCAGCCTGATTTTAGGAGAGTCGGGTCCCACAACGGCCCGACGAGACCTTGAATCTTGCTTTCAAATTCCAGCACTCGACACATGGCTCTCGGACCGTGTGGCCAGCACACGGTTCATTCCGAATGGTCCTCATTCCTCACCGATTCCGTAACGCATTTTTCATGCGTGTTCCTAGTTTCCACTAGGATATCCAATAGCATGAAGTTTACTATTGCGGGCCGCGGCGATTCAGCGCATTGAGCATGTCGCTATCGGTACTGGAGCGGCCTTGGGAATCGCCGGGGTTCAGCATATCGCGCACGTTCAATCCACCTCGTTGCGAGCCACCAGGGGTAGAAGTTGGCGGTGGTGTCACACCGCCTGGCTGAGGGGTACCGCTTTGCTTGATTGGCGCGCTGCCCTGCTGAGCTGGAACTGGGGGAACGCTACCCTGGTGTGGAGTCATAGGCGCCTGGTGGGGTTGCATGGGTGGGAAAGGCGAGCCGTGAGGTGAGGAGGAGGGACGTGCGTCATAGTTATAAGCCGATGGCGGCGAGGTGCGTCGATCGTGAGCAGGCGGAGGGGGATATGCGTAAGGGCTCGGCGTAGTGTGAGTTTGGTATCCTGGAGCAGATCCGGCGGGTGTCACGGGAGCCAGATTGGTTGGATCAGGGTACTCAAACCCAGAGTTTGAGCCTCGACGGTGTCTCTGAGTATCAAAACATCAGCTCGGATCTCTTGTTCTTACCAAAGGGGGAATGGCGGCCTTACCGGATCGGGCATGGTTGACGCAAGGGGCAGCGGGGCACCATCCATGGGGGGTCGTCCGTTTTGATAGTACATCCCTTGGGGCGGCGGCAAGGTGGTCTCTGGGCCCTGTGGCTGCTGTTGAGGGGGCAGAGGCTGTCCATGGGCGCCATACAGGACAGGTGGTCCACCACGGCCCCCTGGTCCTGGTCCATTCTGTCCAGGCCGTAGATGAGGGTAGGCGGTGTGTGCGGGCACAAAGGCCTGTGTTTGCGAAGAGACCGGAGTGAACATGCAGTCTTGGTTGAATCGAACACAGTTGCTGCACCGTCCATCTGCGGAAGTCTCGAATCCCGAGCAGCGAATCTATGTAAAAATTAGCGCGTAATTCGCAGATGGGGAGGAATCTCCGTACCTTCCGGCGCCGACAGTACCGGCATGCAATGGCCGTTCGCTGTCGCGGAGCTGCTGCTTGGTAAGGCCCTTGTCCTGCTTGGGGTCCATATGCATCGGCGCGATAAGGACCCGGCGGAGGTGGGAGACGGTAGGGATCTTGCGCTCCGTGGATAGCGTTCATGGCTTGTGGATGCGGATATCTTGGATCCGGATACTGCGCCGGGGGATATTGTGATGGGGCGTACTGCGGAGGAGGAGGAGGATACTGCGATGGCGCGTATTGTGCGGGAGGGGGATATTGATAGGCACGGTCCTGGTCAGGTGGCGGAGGGTAGGAAGTCGGCGGATACTATAAAGCTATCAGCAACCGGAGCCGCAAAGTCACAGCATTTGTGAACTGATTCAGAGATAGCACATACTGGGTAGGGAGCCTGATCATCTGGATTGTTCCACTGAGTGGCTCTAGGATCTCTTGTATCTCTGTCTCGAGGATCCCGATTTGGATCACCCTGACGGTTAGGGTCGTGATCGTTGGGAAGGCCCGACATTTGTGTTGTTGGGAGAGTAAGACGAGATGAGTCAAGGATGCAGGGATGTGACGTTCGAGTTATTGAAAAAGGGAGTTCGAATCACACGGACAAAGTGAGTATAGCGCGGTCACGCAGGGGAAGGGGAAGAAGGGCAGACGCAAGAAGATCCCAAACAGAAAAAGGAAATAGGAAATAGGGAAGAAGGGGAAAAAAAAAGGAAGAAAAAAGGAAAAAAAAGACGATTATGACGTGAGCAGGTACGAGGAAGTTGAAAAACCCCACGAGATAAGCAGAGAGAAGAAAAAGAAGCTTAGATCGGAATGGGCAATAAAGGAAATAAAGGGAAATAAAAGGAAAGGGAATTATTTGATTGGAATAGCACAGGGGAATTTTTAGAGAACGGGGTGGAGCCCGGGCAGCGCGGGCTAAAGCGGCGCCAGTGACCCATAGACATGGAGGGGGGATTACTGTATGTGTATCTATACGGATTGTAACAACCTTGGAAGTCCTCATGGATGTCGAATTGCATACATCGAGTATGACCTTACATTACGCTTTCAATTCGTCAGGTGAAACATTCCAAAATTCCAAGGTTGGAGAGGCTTTGAACCATGGATTTGAATCTAGCGTACCAGACTTTGGTTATGAAGCCGAGAACGGCGACCGCTTTTATTTTATTTTATTTCATTTCATTTTATATTTATATATATTTTTTTTCCTTTTCCAACTAGCAGTAGCGCCCGAGAGTAACTTTCCACGTTTTTCGCCACTCTACATTATCTGGAAGAATATACCTACAGAATAAAGGAGCTCGACAACATACAGAAAGGTTCAACTATCAAAGTTGACATCATCAGTATGGCAGGTGACCTCTCATTTTGCATGGATCAATCCATGCACGCAATTCCTCCGAGTGACCCTTGCTGCGTAACCGTCCATGGACGAACGACCGCCTCGGACCGTAGTCGCACAACCGCAACCGGCCCCGCGGAACCAGGATTATTTTCCATGGCGATGGGCTCGGGTCGGGGCGACACATTCCCATGCATATCGGGGTTGGTTTGATTGTATTTTAATTTTTTTTTAATTCTAACCATTTAATTGATATTATCATCTATAATATTGGCAGTTTTCTTACCTTAACCAGGTATACCTAGTCCATCAATGTACATAGAACTACTGCATGTTGGTACTATGAAAGAAAAATTCAAGCGGTGAAAGTGTGGCGATCAGACTTCAGCTGAGGGAGTGGGGTAGAGCTTGACCACTCGCCACTCTTCATAACGAAGGAGCATCCATACGAATACTATAGTTGGATATGGAAGTCTGGCACGAAGTATGAAGGAAGGAAAAAATGTGGCGATAGCGGATCCCTTCTTTTTTTATGACCGAAACGAACCAGGCTTCGGAAGAAAAGAGGGAGAGAAGACAGAACGAGGTGGAGTGCCCTAAGTTCCCAGGGCTGTAGCACTGGATCCGGAAAGCCCATAATGAGCCAAGGTAACCTGCATTAGCGCTGCGCTGACAGGGCGGGTTCCTTGTCCAGAGCCACAACCACGTTGTACGGGGGGGGGGCCATTTAGCGTACGCCTGTCACCGCCAATCCCGTGAACTTTTCGGCCCAATTCATCTACCATGTACAGATAATGTGGGTTTGAGATATATGAATAATGGCAGAAAGTCATGAGGATGGCAAAAAAAAAAGATAGTCCGCACTCGCAACCATGGATTGAATAATCGAGTAAATTGTAATAATACGAGTACATACGATTGCCAGGATTAATCAATCAAGTTTCGGGGTACTTGTCCCACGGGCCGCTCCGGCCTTCCCGCCGATCTATGCATGTGTGCCATCTGGCAAAAATACCTCGGTTGTTACAGTACAGTATTTCGTCTCGAGAACACATATATCTTCGAGTCTATCCTAGAATTTATTCTAGTTATGTTAGATACTTTTATTGGATGATATAATTATAGGAAACACAAACTAAAATATGTACATGTATGTGGTGATCGGTTCAAGTTTCCGTTTTCATAAATACTACATAGTATGCACTATCCGTAATACGGAGTAAAATAGAGTACCAATATAAAACAATTCAGGCCACGTTTTTCGAACCCAATCGACTGCATTGCCGTCCGCATCTTTCCGTTCCCCACTCTCTGGCGTGGCCTGTTCAGCTTTGTCCCCTCTAGCGTACTCTCCAGACACTCCATGATCCACCCGATCCAAAAACGCTGGCCACTCGATACTGTTTGTCCTGGGGACGCGCTAGTTGTCCTCCAAACTAGTCCTTTCGACAGGGACTGAGCGTTGATTGTTGAAACTGAAAGCCCAACATTAGGGGACTCATTCCGACCGGGCCTTTTTGTAGGCTGCGACGTTCCCAAGGTTTTTTTTACTTACGTATAATATTTTGTACTTTTGTTTTCTTGTTTCAACTTTACATTTAGTGTAATTTTTTTAATCTCTTTTAGTCTCTTTTGGTTTTTGTTCCAATTCCTATTAGCCATACAATCCCCCCCTTTATCCACACGGGAGCGCGTCTATCAGCAAGGATGGAGACGGGTCGGGCACTAATAGGCGCAGCCCGCATGTCATTACAGTCACGGGAACACCATATGGACCAATATAGTAATGGGAACGAGATAACAGGGCTAAGGTCTGTGCTGGGGATCTGACGTGGCGAGGGGTTTTTTTTCCCTGCACTGAGCCGGAACGAGGAAGTGCTTTCAGAGTCGGTGTACAACGAACGAACTCGAACGTGCAGGTCGTGTGATGGAATATGCCTGCTGACTACCTGATCCTAGGAAAAGCATATGTGAGATCGGCAGGTCATTATTACCCGAGCCTTTGTGACTTTGCTCTTTTGTTCTTCCTCTCTTTGATTGAAGCGAGTTTCTTATTTCTTGGCCCTCTATTGTATGTGATTCGCGCAGTGGTCGCATCTAATTGATATTTTCCCACCCTGTCTATACCTCGTCAGTTACACAGGTGAGACCAAGACTGGGACTGCCAATGCTGTATGCTAGACCTCCTCAACTCTATTCGGGCGCCATTCGGGAGACAAGCGAGTCAATCTCACCTTGCTTTTTCTGGATGCTTTGCCAAGTGGTTTCTCGGGATCGTGCGTGGAGCTAGTGACTTTGACATATTTACTCCGTAATTAATGTGCGGCTTAACTGATTCTTTTTTGCTTTTTCGTGTACCTCTGGCTTATTTGGGATTGCTTTTGACTTTTCGCATTTGAAACTTCCTAGGTGCTATTTGGTTAGATTGGATTGTGCGTTGTGATCTGCATACAAATGCACCTAGGGCATCGGTATCACTCGACTGCGGATGCCTCATAAAATTGACCGACTCTCTCAAGGTTTTAAAGGTCGATCCCCGCACGCCGAGGCGTCTACCTTGATCCCTGTGTTTGGGTTAATTGGTAGTTCCCAAGTCAACAAACATCATGCCTGTCGATGCAGCGTGAACAAACAAGACAAATTGTAACATGTGATTATTTCTACCCTAGTTAACATTTAACGTCAAGTGTATACCTATGTATGTTGTCGGCCCCTAGGCGATCGAATGTAGATCTGATATGTGTTTCGAGAATTCAGACTTCGATCCGGAAAGTATATCTAGATTAGTTAGCGTTTTCACGGAGATGGAGTATAGAACCTCCGTAATCCGCAAACGCATAGCCCTAAAGATCCCCAGAGACTCAAAGAACTCAAAGTAACACTTTATATCTCGCGATACTTTAGCATGTTCTATTCTTTTCATGTTTCTCTTTGTATATCTAGTGACTTATCAAGTTCAGCACTTTGAGCTTTGTGTCTCAAGTGTCTACAAAACCATATGTATCAGCTTACTCTCTGAGCGTCCAAATCGGTGTGTCCCCCATATCAATTTCTCGAATACCACATGAAAAGTTCTTTGTGATGTGCAAGCAACACCATGCCATGGCGTTTTCGGGGCCCAGTTCCCGGTACTAGTGGGAATGACAATCCTGGTTTTGATACGTGAAGATCCATGGCAATATACTACACCGAACACAGCCCAGCATATAGCTGCCCAACTATCCACATCGCAGACAGCATAGTATCGAGTGGACACATGCCCAAGACATGGGCCGATACCCGTGGACTCCCAAAATGAAGAGCATCAAGAATCAAAACTCCGTAATGCATACCAAACACATTCAGGATGCACTATGAAGAAACAAAACAATACCACCCAGTCAAATAAATGGAGTCTATTCCAGAGAAGGAAGGTGCTCATCCCAGAGCCCAAAATCTGGGACGGCGGAGTAGAACTACCCGGTCTCAATCCACATTGCCTGCAGGCCCAAGGTTAGCCTAGCGGACATGCCCGACAACGGGCCGAACGCGGGCGCTTGTGGTGGCGATATCATGCGCGTCAACTAGGTACTTGATTAAAAATTGAAAATCTCTGTTCTTTTGCACTATGTTGTAGAGATCGCAAAAAAAGGTTAGATTGCATAGTGCATGAGAGGGGGTTTGAAGCCATTGGGTGTTGGGGTTAGCAGGATTGCATCGAAGTGTCTAAAACTGTATATGTATCATGTTGAGGGGAAATGCAGTAGTAATGCCTCAAATTGGAGTGTTGTCCGCGTAGTATGCAGGGTGCAACAGTGCGGCAGTGCTAGAGGTGATATTACTGCAGAGCGAATGTTAGGTAACGTTATTCGGCTCCGCGCCAGTGCTAGGCCTGCAGTAGCATTCCGGGAAACGCGGCGGGGACTGACGAAAGAAGCCATGTGCAGGAGGCGTCAAGGTGGGGGATGCCGGTTTCAAGTTCGAGAGTTGTAAGAGACAAAAGACCCGAGCCAAGGCAGTTTGAATGAGAAAAATAAGATAGATAAATACTAGGCAGGTAACAAATACAAACAATTTCATACAGCATTCAAATGTTGAACTCTTATCCCACCCTCAGGAAGTAAAAGAGTCAAAGGTAAAACAGAACAGATTGATCTCTCTCTTCCCCCTCCTGTCTGCCAAATAGGCGCGGGTAGCCTGTCCCAAATCACTGATCGGGCATCACCACACTGTTGAGATACGTCACCTGTTCGAGAAAGAAGCGGTCAGCGGTCAGCACAAAATATATGTACAATATAAAGGTTATTGTCCCACAACCCTTTCGGTCCTGTCAAAGCGGAAGAAAAAAAAAAGAAAAAAAAAAAACCAGTGACACCAGTGCTGATTTAGCGGTGGGTACGGAGTAAAAGGGACGGCTAACACTGCCAAAGTGGCTAGCTCAGAAGGGAAAACAGACTAGTCAAGAGGGGGCAAAACCGGCGGGATATGGAAATCGGGGATTGGAAAACTTACGAAAGGCTCCATGATTCTCACTAAAGCCGTAATCTTCTCTTGAGCATCATCTCCAGTGAGTTCATCATCTGCAATGGGCTTTCCAATAGTGAAACTGCGTAGTCGAAGCAATTTGATGTTCTTGTTATCTGCCTCGTAACCCTAGGTGTGTCAGCCGTAAAAAAATCCTGATACGTGGAGCCTGGCGCGAATGTGAACCATGGAACCAAACTCGACGGCGTGAGAACATATCCCCTTCTAGCAAGTGCGATTTCCCCATTAAGAGTCTGCCAAATTGATCTTTCTTGGGTTCCATGGTTGTGGTTCGGGAGCAAAAATTGGTCCAAAACACGGGTTGACTTTCCCGTAACCCCTGTCTTCCATATCACATTTGATGATTTGAAGCAGGGACGGTTGGAACTCTTGGGTTCTTTTGATCTGTCATTCCCGGGTTTCTTTCATCTCTGAGCTATCGTTGCACCCTGTCCGATCAGGGAGTCTCTTGGTTAGAGAGATCCACCCGGGTTCCATGATCTGAGGCCATTGCCATCAAGCCCTTGATGAAGGAAATGAATTCCGTTTCCAGGACCAACCCCGATCGGACAATAGATGCAACCTCGATGGCAAACCTCGTGCCCCTGTCTCCAAGACTTTCGCGTCCCAGTCCATAAATAATAAACAAACAGCTGACAATGCAACCGAACCACAAGATGATGACGGGCAAGAGTAAAGCCGGTCTCAATGGACCACATACTTCACAATGGGATCAAGGGGAATAAAGAACAGAAAACTTCATACCTTTGGCTTCGTCTTGAGAGCAGACTCCCTGTTGTGATGTGTAAAAGCGTCCACAACCGCATCGTCATCATCGGACGCTCCCTTCAGAAACTCGCGACGCATCTCCGGCGCCCGGAGTACTCCCTTTAAGCCAGCCGAGTTCTCATCGAGGTCCTCTCGCAGCAGTGCAAGTGGCTCCGACTCGGGGTTCCATAGCCCGCAGCCTACACACAACATGTTAGTCGCAATGAATTAACATTGCAAAAGGGAAGGCAGTGCGACGATGGCGACGGCGACAGTGGATACCAGCCGGGGGACAACCTACCAACAAAACAAGAGCCTGGCTGGAAGTGGACATAGTATGCTGCGTATGGACCCTTCTTGCCAGTTCGAGACCTGCACCATGTTCAGTGACTTGTGTCTTTTAAAATGACATCGAACATTAACACTCACCAGGCAGCAGAGAAATGCGTCTATACATCTTGAGTCAGTATAAGCACATCTAGCGAGCCCACAGTACCACATGTACACCCACCACACAAACATGCGACGGGCTTAACGACAGGGACCCTGGGGGAGATAGCCTACCTTGTACGGAAGTGGGTTCTTGCTGAAGCGAACATCCCTATGGATGCGGAATACCTGGGGCAAAATTGTGAGCGTCGGGCACAAATAAAAGACAGGAGTATTCGCAAGCCTACCAGGTCCTTTACAGGAAGCTCGGGGACGGTAGCGTCTACTTCTGCAATCTTCGGTGTGAGGGACTCGACGAATGTCTCAAAGTCCTTCTTTGCCGCTCTGTAATCCGGATCATGGGCTGCGCAAGTCAACCAGCCACTCGATAATTGGGGTTTATATATGCTACTCACCTTTGAGCCATTGTCGGTCATTGTTATCAGCTAGATCGATCAAGAACAGCCTGGTATTGGGGTGCAGAATCTCATCCTGGTACGGGGTTTTCCCCGCGTCTCGGGCCTTGGGCTTTGCGATGATAACTTCTTGTCCAGGCTCCAGGCCCACTCTGACGCCCTCGCGCCAAAGTTCCTTACCCTTCATAGGGTCGCTCCCGCTGCTGGTGCTCTGTCGTGGGTTTCCCCTGGCGTGGGGTTTCTTCGTGTCCTCGTCGGTGTCGAAGAGTTCTTCCGGCTCCACTTCCTCTGCGGGGGATTCCTCTACTTCCTCGTACACTGAGCCAGAGGAATCCCCCGCAGAGGCATCGGACTCCGAGTCAGGCTCATCGGAGTCTTCCGGCTCGAAGTACTTGCTCTTGCTGGTCGTGGACTTTGCCTGGCGGAGGGTCAGGTCGACGTTTGACTTGACCCGTTTGACCTCCGGTTCGGCGGCGGACAGCCTAGCTGAAGCGCGTCGCTTTGGCGCCACAGGCGCTTCAGGCGACACAGGATCAGGTCGAGAGGACCGTCGTGGCATATTTAGATGAATAGAATCGATTTGATTGAACTTCAGTGTCTTTTTCCCCCCTTCTATGTTTTGAGCCTGTATTTTTCCGAATTTGTCGCTAACCTGGAAATCAAGACAAGTAGAAATCAAGCAAAATACTGTAGATGACAAAAGTGGTAAATTGAATTAAAAAGGGCCCGCATGCCTTAAAAACCGGCGGTAATTAATGGCTCCGCTTTTAGTACCAGCGCCCTTGTTTTTTTCGTTTTCCCCCCTCAGATGTATCAAGTCTACCTTGACATATCGAACCCCATGTAAATGCCTTGGAGACATCTTGTCCAATCATATGTCCAGTATATATTCCGATCTCGATCTGTGACGGAACCGATGAGACTTAATATGCGATATCGGTGGTCGTTTGGGCGGGCCACCCACTACTAGTAGCTGTGCTCAACATATTGCTGTCTTTGCAGGGGTCGCAGAAGGCCGTTGACATCACCAAGAGCCCAAAACACACTTTATGCTGTCCTATATTGTCTCATGCCCTGGACCCTGGTATGTCTTTCGCGCCTTGCTCCAAATACTAAGCCCATGATTTTGGGTATTAAACTTGTAGGATAGGCACCTTTGCTTGGTATACAGCGATGGTAAGACGCTTGAAACAGATCGAGGCAATTTATTTTATCTAGCACGCTTCTCCCGTGAGAATCTGGGTGTATCTCGTCTTCACTTTGAAGGGGTTTGTGATATCTTGCAACGGGAAGTGTTAGCCGTGTCTCGGCATCACTAATCCAATATAATCTCCCCAACAACTCAGCTGGTATCGATCGATGTCCTTGACTGAATGGCAGTCAGACTTCCTCACACCTAGTCCCATTTGTTTCGACTGTGTCCCTATCTCCTCAACGGTGTTGTAGCCGGCGCTCGTTTGGTCTCTGTTAAAGGTCGATGATTTGCTGTCGTGGTAATGAGGGCTCTGCCGTTAGCAGTCAAGGTCTACCCTCCCACAGCTTGGTCACAAATGTATGTGTTGAGATTCGCCGGCAAGTGCTGGTAGGTGTGTCATCAGGACCGACCGTGATAGGTGGTCAGATTCTTGTCTGATAGATCCATAGTTCCTACATCAAGATCAAGAGACAGAAGGTAAATCAGGGGAATAGTAGCTCGGAATAAGGGCATTTATATGAGTAAATGAGATAGTGAGTAAGAAGTCAGACCTGGTCAAGCACTGTGGACTTCGGCAATTGCCCGGACACAAACAGATGCTGCTGAAAGAGTATCCTGATTAGTTAACCATACATTAGGTGTCCTGCTATATGCATGTTGCCGGATAGATACCTAGTCTACAAACAAGCAAAAGCAACGCTTAATGAAAATACACTGAAAGCAAAAAGAATTGAAAGCAAAGGGGTTTAAGAAAGCTAAATCAAACAACTAGCTAGTGCCCTCACTTTGGAGGTGACATTAAAGCCAGGCAAAACTGAAAGTAATCTGAATTGATCCACAGCGAATCCCCCAACCCGGCCAAGCACACCTCAAAGGGCAGCACGCCGTGGTTGGTTCGATATCGCTGGGAAAAATTCGTAAATGGCGCAAGCGCCAGGGAGACAAGGGGTTTCTGAATTAATCTGAATGGATGTCTCCATACATCCAAGCAGAAAGAACCGGGAGAGACCGCACAAACCAGAAAGCAAAACCAGAGGAAGACAAAACACGTTACCGTGTTTATTGATCAGTATCTCGAAATGAGAAGTACTGGTCCGAGGTGTCTACCAAGCCTGCTCACTTCTTTGAGGGCTTGCGGTACCCAGAAGCGGACAGGTGGGCGGCGTCAGAGCGGGAGCGATGGTTGCTGGGAGCAACCGGAGGGCCCGGCGCGAAGGGATCAGAGGACGACCGCACGTTCTGTGCGGTCGCATGAGGAGCGCGGTAACCAGGGCGGACAGGACCCTGGTTCTCATTCGAGCTTGCCGCAGGTGCATCCTCAGCTCGGGGCATACGCCAGTTGTGGGCGCTCTGGGAGACGTCCCGCTGGTGTGGGGGACGGTAAGGGCGGACTGACGGGGGCGCACGACGAGTGGGGGTATCCGACAGATATTGATCAGCATCAAGACGCTGAGAGCTAGCACGGGTGCTACCAGGGATATTCCAGTTGTCACCCCGTTCGACGCTGCCAGTCATGTCGCGGGCAGTCGAAATGGTAGAGCCTTCCCGAGAGGCAGTACCGGGGTTCATCGAGGCAGTGCGAGAGGCCGAGATAGTACGCTCGCTGTCAAACGAGGTGGTACTGTGGGTTGGCGAGGACGCAGGGGCAGTGCCAATGGTTGAAATGCTGGTATTTCTCTTATGCAGATGCTGGTATCCAGTAATTATGAACTTTCGAAGAACGCTTGCTTCGTAGTTGATTGCATCTTTGTAAATGGTGGCGCGGGCAGCGTCGTCATGCCACTCGAACCAGAATCTTCCGAAAATCCGCTCTATCTCGGGATGAGTGTGCTTGTTAATAAGACCATCATTCTCGGTGCGCAGAACAACACCGTGAGACATGAGGTAGGCGTAAAACTATAGCGATTGGAGAACGAATTAGCGCCCCGCGAAAGAAAACAATGTCTCAGCAAAATTTCAAACCTGGATAGTTGTAGGGGGATGTCCGGGAACATAGGTCATGGTGTCGAATGGGAAATAGAGGCACCAGTCATGATCCAATGTTGCAATTCCTCTCATATCTTCCGACCACCAGGCAAAGCAGTATTTCATGCGAGGGTTGAAAGCAGGACAGCAGATTCCTGCATGCACCAACTCGTTCAGAAGGCGGATGTCCAGACCAACTGTGTTTGTTTTCTGCATACGTTCCACCAGGGTCTTGATAAAAGTACCAAGAGTCTTGAAAAGAGCGTTTCGGTGGTGAACGGTGTAAAGATGAGTTGCCTGCCACGGAAACTATACGATAGGACAAAGAATATTAGCACGACATGCAACGGCAAACGGAGATGTAGGACGATGATTGACTTACCTTCCAGATAGTAGTAATGAACGATTCGTAGCATCGCTGGGGGACCTTGCTAGCAAATGCGCTCTGCAAGTTGTTAGAACATCAGTGACGTGAAAGTGAAGAAAATTGAAAAGAAGTTTGACATACACGGTGGGGTTGCTCAGCAAGACGACTGAGGCAAAACAGTTCCTCATCAGTGAGGAAGCCATCGAAACCAGTGGACCAACTATCTTTGTTGGGGAGTTGAACAGGCTTTCCGTCCTCCCATAAAATGCACTTCGCCCGGGGAAAAATAGCCTTGAGCAGCTTGGCCGGGCTGCTCATCTCGATGTCAACATGGCGGCTGCCCATACGTGGGGCGCTGCCAGCATCGTAGGCGTGATTACTGATGCGATCGACGGTAGCTTGTGCATCTTGATTGGTTGGAAATTCGACAAAGACGTCCATGGTCTTACCGGTAGACCGTTCCATAATGATATGGATCGGACAGCCTTCGGAGGATGGGAGCAGGTTGGCACCACGGCCAAGGAACGAGGCTACCTCCTGGCGAGTCACGGTGTACGGGATCTGAGTATCAGAATTGTTAGTAACAGAATATTGAATGCAGCTGTTGACAGGAAGAATATGGTGAAAAGTAAACTCACGTTAGAAATCATCAGAACACCATCGCGAGGAGGGATGTTCATGCCGGTGATGCTACCGAAAGGGATCGAAGCTTGCTGCAGAAGTTCCTCAATTGAGTAGGTCTCGAAGCGTTCGAAGTCTCCATAATCGGTGTTCCCTGCCAGCCCAAATGGGTAAGCCATGTTGTTGTTGTTGTTGGGTGAGAAAGGGTTGGGTTCAAAGGCGTCTGTTGAAGTGAGGTGTTATCAGTGGGGTCCAGCCAGTCTTGATGATGATGGTACAGGTGGTCAACCTATCATGTCAAAGGGAGGCAAGAAGATACTTACTTGGATAGTACTGAGGAGCAACGTTCACAGCGTTGTGGTAGACTTGAGGTGAGACCTCAAAATAATATTGCCAGTAGTGAGGCTGATAGGTGACAGCAGGATAGACTGCAGTCACGTTGTTGCAAGCACCGGGGTAGACCTCAGGTACTGAGTTGACAGGTCTTGGAGGACGAATGGTGGAAGTAGAAGATGAATGATACTGATGGGAAGAAACCAATGAGGATGGGGTTGAAGAAATTGGAGGCGCAGATGGGGTTGTAGAACGAGGTGCAGGACGGATGGTGGAAGTGGAAGATGAATGGTAATGATGGGAAGAAACCAATGAGGATGGGGTTGAAGCAATTAGAGTCGCAGATGGGGTTGTAGAAAGAGGTGCAGGACGGATGGTGGAAGTGGAAGTGGAAGATGAATGATTATGATGGGAAGAAACCAATGAGGATGGGGTTGTAGAAAGAGAAGCAGATGGGACATAAAATTTATCAACAGTTTGAGAGCGCAAAGCAGAATCAGAGGACGATTTTCTCAGATGAGAGCAACCGGAAATTTGAGAAAGTGAAGGATAGTCACTGTCAGGAACAGCCGCAGTCGCAGTATGTGGCTCTGAGTGTGTCTCGTCATCATTGAGAGTCATCAGGCCAATATCAGCTGCAAGTAGACCCATCGTAATCTGCCAGTCGTTAAGGTCAGGCATACGCCTGAATGGTTCACTCATGTTAGGGCTTGGACTGATAGCAGATGAAATAGATATTGTGCGTGGAAACAAAAATATTTACGAGGTAGGGTGCGTGGGGATAGATGAGATCTATTTATACGCGTGGAATTAAGCTGACGCCCGCACGAGTCCGCCGTGTTCGGAAGGTACTCGAGTGTCGTCTGGAGGATTACTCTAAATCCAGAACCCCCCCCCCCCCCCATTGCAAAATCGTCGATTTTGAACCTTATTTTCTCAATAAATATGTATGATATACAATTTTTTGGATATTTTTAAATTAAATGTAGTAGGCTAAAGTACTATATATGTCGTTCTCTTCAAAATTGCCCTTTGTGGTAAAATTTAATGATTCTTCGAATGTCGAGGCTAGGAATCATCTCTTGTGTCAGTCACCCCTAGGTACGCTTTAACACGACGCACTTCTATCCGAGATCATTTCCGTTGCCACGCACCTCAAACGCTTTTCATAGAGATTCCACGGGTTCCTCCTAATTATTTCCACGTCGGCCAACTTCCATCAAACAATCTTCTCCCACGCACCCGTGTGCATCACTCTTCTTATCCCCACGCACTATACCCATATATTAGTTATACCTCACGCACTTCTCCCTTCCACCTTTGTATTGTACAGAAAGCATCTTCTCAAGTCCCTACTTTTATTGGGACTGATACTATCCTCCACTCCCGGCTGATTGCCAGTGTAGACTTAAATTTATATAGTACACTTTTATTAGCATATAATGCGCCCTGTTAATGGTGGCTCTTTAGCTTGTTAGATGATGCTGAGCCATGAGCTCTTGGAGGTATGTGTATTGTGGTACTGTTGTCAATACGCCCTTGCTCTCTGGTGCAGATTCTTCTTTTTTTTTTGGTTGATTACTATACAGCGCTATCGAGGTAGTTTCTGTCTTGATGAGGAATCAGGCCATACGAGAACAACAGGTTAGCATCACTGTGAGGTACTACGCTGGTGGAAAGGGTCTATCATGCTACTAAAGAACAAGTCAAACCTGGACAGAAAACATCGATCGACGGACATCGGTATAAGATTCTCTCTTAATCAATGCAAGCCTATGCTATCTGTACAGGAGTAGAAAGTGGGAAACACAGGGCCATTCATTATTCGGAATCAACAAGAAAACGCTGGGCAATTTAATCGAACTGAACGATAGTCAGCAATTGAGTCAACGGTAGACAGCTTAATAAAAACATACCGGTGTCAGGAAAGACTCGGCAACAAATCGAGCACGGGCATTCAACTAGTGGGCTGTTAGTAACTTTCCACGTAAACAATGCATCCGCACACATACGAAGAGCTTCATTTCCGAAATCTCCTTGTCCACCTCTTCCATGAACTCGATCACGAAATCAATTAGCTTGTGGGTAAGCATTTTCTCCGTGTGGAAGTTAGTAATGAGGAAACTGATGTCATACCCCTCCACTGGCTTCCGGCGCAAAATGAAGAACGATTCCGCTCGCTGGGTAAGGAACCGAGTGAATTTGTGGACAAGAATGTGCTCGATCTCATCTGCCTGCTTGATTCTGATACTTATGCGTACAGAATTGTAACTTGGCTCGATTTTCACCTTCTCATTTTCATTCCTGCTGATGTGAAGCCTGGAAAACCATCAATACATCTGTTCATGCGACCTTGGGGAGAATTAATGGTCAGGCGTACGGGTTCAATAGAATCTCGGGCGACGAATTTGCCTCAATCTCTGGGCAGTTGCTGGTGGAACCGAGTATTAGCATCTTTAAGTTTAACATTTGCAGCATGGGCGACTTACTGCCGTTCGGATGTCTGAGAAGCGAAGTTGGAGATCGTAAGAGCCGCGGTCAGAGAGGACCGAACACTAGTGAAGTGTTAGGAAGCTTGCCGCTGAATACTTGTCATAAGGTCAAAACTCACGCCTGGAGATAGGGCCGGAGAGATTGACTCTGATGATCAATTAGTATAGAACGAGCTGGCCGATTGGAGCTGTACCCACCATGATGAGGGGGTGTTTGTCCGGGCCACGAGGCTGCAATCGTCACGGATGATAATAAGGTCGGGGGTCGGTTGAAGAGAAATTGAAATAAGCCCGTTGTGAGGACCCTTCGACCTAAAGCAGTGAGCGAGAATGGCAGTTCTCTGGATAACAGGTTGTCCTAGGCAGAAGAGGAGTTGACGTCGGGGTGGGCGGTGATGATAGTAGCTGGGCGGTGAGAAAGCCCCCACGCTTCGTCTCAGGCTGTTTACCATTTGCCCCAGCAATCGCAAGCTCTTCCAAGCTCTTTATCTTTCTCACATCATCCATCTCTAAATTTATTGAAAATGGCAGCTATACCGAGTATGTATGGATGTATTGGTAGTTCCTGGACCACTATTAACAGATACACAGTTATTGTCAAACATGCCGGCAAGCGCCACGAAGTCGAGCTCGATCCTACATCCAACGGCGAAACACTCAAGTACCAACTCTTCTCCCTGACTGGTGTGGAACCTGACCGCCAAAAGGTTTTGGTCAAAGGTGGCCAGCTTAAAGATGATACGCCTCTTTCGTCCCTTAATGCCAAACCCGGGCAGATGTTCATGATGATGGGCACCCCGTCGGGAGGTCAAGGCTCCGTCGACCTTGGTCGGCCAAAGGAAACTGTCAAATTCCTAGAAGACATGACCGAGGCTGAGGTAGCACGACAGGAGGGTGCCACCCCTGCAGGTTTGCAAAACCTGGGAAACACATGCTACCTCAACTCTTCCCTACAAACCTTGCGGAGTGTTCCGGAGCTTCAGGAAGAGCTCATGCGGTATCGGCCAAGTGGAGGAGCTGGACAGTCGAGCCTCTCAGACCTCAGCAGCTTTGGTATTGGTGGTCTTGGGGGTTCTCGGGATTTGGCCGCTTCTCTACGCGATCTGTTCAAGCAAATGTCCGAAACGCAGGAGGGCATTCCTCCACTGATGTTCCTCAATTCTCTCCGATCCGTCTTCCCTCAATTCGCCCAACGTGACCGAAATGGACAAGGATACTCCCAACAGGATGCCGAGGAGGCTTTCTCCCAGATCTTGAACCAGTTGCGGACTAAGTTGACCATCACCGAAGGCGAGGGAGAGTCTGCCACTACCACCTCATTTGTAGATAAATATCTCGCGGGCCAATTTGAATCTATCACGGAGTGTCAGGATCCCGCCGCTAAGGAACTCGGCGAGCAACCGAGTCAAAGTTCTGATGTTTTTTACAAACTTGATTGTCATATCGGGAAAGAAACGAACCACCTGCAGGATGGGATTTTGGCTGGCCTCGAAGAGGAAATCGAGAAAAACTCTCCTCTTTTGGAGCGCAATTGTGTGTACAAAAAGCGGTCCCGCATCGCACGACTGCCCAAGTACCTCACAGTGCATTTTGTCCGATTTTACTGGAAGCGTGAAACACAGAAAAAGGCCAAGATCATGCGCAAGGTGACATTCCCTGCCGAGCTGGATGTTGTGGAGTTCTGTACCGAGGACCTCCGAAAGCAGCTCATCCCTATTCGTGACAAGGTTCGTGAGATCCGCAAGGAGGAGCTGGAGGTCGAACGTTCCCAGAAACGCCAAAGAGTTGCGGAAGAGCGTGCAGAGCGTCAGAAGAAAGAGACCAACCTAGGTGAAAGCGTGGAGCCAATGCAGAAGAAGCAGGCCACCGAGGAGAGCAAGGCTAAAGTCAACGACAAGGATGGCGATAGCCAGATGGAGGAAACTTTCAAAACCGATGCTGAGTACGAAGCAGAAAGAGCGGAATCTATCCGCGTTGCCAAGAAAGAGCTCCAAGAACTCATCAACCAGCGGGGTGCTGGAGACAGCGGAACCAATCAGTCCGGTCTGTATGAGCTTCGCGCCGTGATTACCCACCAGGGTGCTAGCGCCGACAGCGGTCATTACACGGCATATGTCAAGAAACAGGAGCGGGATGAGCCCCAGACAGGCAGCAAGCGCCGCGAGGCAGACAACAAGTGGTGGTGGTTCAACGATGACACAGTAACTGAGGTGGAGGCACAAAAGATCGAGACTCTTTCGGGTGGTGGTAAGTGTACTACATTCTACAATCCCGGAGCCATTGCTAATGACATATATAGGCGAGTCACACTCTGCTCTCATCTGCCTCTACCGCGCGATCGAGTTGCCTAAATCCGAGTAAATGGGTTTGCCTTAGCATTTGTTCACATGAGAAAGAAATCTGCAAATGGTTGCCTCTAGATGAATAGAAACGATGAACATGAATGATGCTCGTCTCCAACGCCTTAACTGTTGCCAATTGATTTGTTTTATTGTCATATGCCCCGCCATGATCTACATTGTAGTCATAGATCTTTAGATTTCTTCCGGCGACGACATATGTACCGGATAATCCCTGGCACTCGAGCCCTTTCCCTTTCAGTTGTAGGGCTCAGCTATTGTCGCTTTTTGATCACTGAGTAAAACGAAGCACGTCCTTGAGTACCCTGGCTCTACCTAGGATCACGGACTATTTGCCCAGGTGCTCATCGAGCATCACCTGATCATCCCCTAAGCACTCTGGTTCCGATCACTGAGTGCTCAACTGAGTGTACCTGGGGATGAGTGGCCTGAGTATGCTACATCAATGGGTAAATGTGACATGCTAACCGGTTAGGTGGAACGCTTCCCATTCAGAAGCTGGTAGTCAGCGAAAGGTCTTCCGATACAGAGAAAATAAACCCACCTATTTCATCTCCAGTCCGTTGGAGAATGACGTCTGTGCATACTCAAGGCTCTCGGAATCGAATGTCAAGCTGAAATTCACCAGGGGCACTCACGAAAAGCGAAGAGGCCTACCTGCGAAGCTCATTTGATTGGAAACTGCCAAAGAAACCGGCATCTGACGAAGTATACAGTGGCATTTCATGAGTATTTGCACCCCAGTACTCCGAAAGGCTTCAGGCCACCTTCCTTTCTGCCTTTTAAAACTTCATTCAACTCCTTAAGTAATAAGCAGTAACTAGAAAGCTCACATACACGCTCATAGATG